GACAATCCGAGGTCTATGTCATCACTCAGGGAAGCGTAAGACAGTAACTATAGAGCAGAACCAAGCTCCAACGAGCTAAAACCCATTGAATTGTCCACGGCCATCTACCGCGGCTTCGGACTCCGTGCAACAGATTCCCATACACCCCACCATGATGCTCTCCTCATCCGTCAGCTGCAGTGTCAAATCGAGTCGTGAGTGCGGTTGATAGTTGGTCATCGTGTACTGCCTCGAAGAAGCCTGTATCATTTCTGTTGACTCTAAGGATACATAGGTCTCACGAACTCACATGCTTTCCTCCAGTATCGTGCTTCCTTGTGGTACCTATCAATTCCTCTGGTGCACCCGCTGCGCCAAGTCGGGAATGACAGTTAAATAGTCTCTCGTCTCTCAAAGGATGCTCTTTTGGTCCTTCATCTCTAGAACTCTTCCAGCTACATATTCACTTCGGTCAACACGATGAACCACCACTGCAGACTGAGTATCTACGGCAAGGACCATAATGATACCTTCACACGTCTTGTGCAACAAGTCAGACTTCTTGTTGTACGCGCTACCAATGCTACGGTGTTTTCGCCTTGGCCAGGGCATCGCACCCCATTGTTGTGGCCCATGTATCGGTTCGGGGTATGTCAGAATCCTTTCAGCAGTGGTCCTGCTCATCCAGCGAGATGGGTCTGTTCTCATCGTCGTGTAACCTGACACCCTGCGGCCCCGCCATCTTCAAAGCGGTGGAACCAAGAGTGTCGGGCTGCCATATCACGCCATATGCACCATTGATCGATAAGGTGTGATAGATGCATCTGGTACGTCGAGACCTTCAAATAACCTTGTTTTTTTTCAGTCGACGGCCTGATAATGTCAAGTCGGATACTCAACTGCACGAATGCCATACTAAACCGTCCCTTTATGACCCATTAAATCGGGAAGAGACTTACACGACGGCATATGTCTTGCATTCCATTGGTCCTCCAACATCCAGGTAGCAGAGACCCCTGCTCATCGGCTTGGACAAATATCACATCCCGCGTTTTGTGCATCGTTCGAAAGGTATATAAGAGGTGAGGAAACAGCCTCGAAGAAACCAAGCCGACTTGGTCTTCTACAGTGCATCTTCTATACGGTACAATGGCCTTCAAAGCCCTTTCTGCTCTCCTCGCTCTCGCCGCTATCTCAGGTGCAAACGGTTCGTACCCGAACAAACATACCCTTCAACGCTTGGCTGCGGCAAACATTCTCTAACTACTCGTATTCTCTTCACAGCTGCTATTACTAGGCGTGTTGCATGTCCTGATGGTAAAAACACGGCCACGAATGCAGCGTGCTGCTCTCTGTTCGCCATCCGTGACGACATCCAGAAGAATCTCTTCGATGGTGGCCAATGTGGTGAAGAGGTCCACGAGTCTCTCCGACTCACTTTCCACGATGCTATCGGCATTGGTGCCAATGGGTCAGTTCTCCGATGCTCGACGGCTAACCATAACTGATACACCCAACCCTTCTTAATTCCAGCGGTGGAGGTGCTGATGGCTCCATCATTACTTTCTCCCACATTGAGACGAAGTTCCACGCCAACGATGGTATTGACGAGATCGTCGAAACGCAGAAGCCTTTCATTGCCAAGCACAACATCAGTGCTGGTGACTTGTCAGTATTACACGAAACCGCATCTTGTTGTTCTTCTGTCTAACGGTCTCTCATGTAGCATCCAATTTGCCGGTGCAGTCGGACTCAGCAACTGCCCTGGTGCTCCACAGTTGAACTTCTTGCTCGGCCGCCCTCCTGGTAATTTCCTCTTCCTACTCTCACATACCCTTTTGGCTAACAGCATGAATAGCCAAGGCTCCTGCTCCGGACAAGACCGTCCCCGAGCCCACCGGTATGCTACCTACCATTCTACCACTCAAGCCGCTCAAATGACTGACCGGTCGCCATAGATAACGTCGACACCATATTGGAACGTTTCGCCGATGCCGGCCAATTCCAGGACTTCGAGGTCGTCTGGCTCCTTTCTGCGTACGTTCTCTCGCTCTTCTCCCGGTAAAGTTTGCCAAGTCTCATTTGTTCATAACCTCATTCACAGGCACACTGTCGCTGCCGCGGATCGCGTAGACCCCAGTATCCCAGGAACACCCTTCGATTCTACCCCTGCTATCTTCGACACTCAGTTCTTCCTCGAGACCCAGCTCAAGGGTAACTCCTTCCCAGGGTATGCTTGCTCGTATTTGATATCTATCCAATCTTGCTAACTAACGGCTACCCCGGGAAATAGACGTACCGGTCATGCAGGAGAGGTCTTGTCGCCGCTCCGAGGAGAGATGCGTCTCGCATCTGACTTCTTGCTCGCCCGTGACAACAGGACAGCTTGTGAATGGCAGTCCTTCGTCAGTAAGTACAGCCCCCATTCCCATCCTAATTTTAATTGCGATAGATGCTGATACAATGACGACGCGTAGACGATCAGGAGAAGCTCGCCGAAACCTTCCCCTCTGTCATGCTCAAGCTCTCTACCCTCGGACATGACCCCAACACCTTGATCGACTGCACTGAGGTTATCCCCATTGCTCCTCCCTTCACCAAGGCAGCCACTTTCCCCGCCGGTCACAGTATCAGGGATGTTGAGCAGGCTGTGAGTAAACCATTGAGTATATACACCGCTGCGGTAAAATCTAAGTTCAATTCACAGTGCGCTGAGACCCCCTTCCCCACTCTCAAGACTGACCCCGGCCCGGCCACCTCTGTCAGGCCCGTGTAAGTCTTTCTCGCTCCCAGCCACAATTCAGTGCATTTGCTCACGCAGATAACTCTAGTCCTCCGTCTTAAATCGGCTCTTTGATAAGAAATTGTGGGTATTTTTGTGTTCTCCAAGGTTTTAAAGATAATTCGGCGGGAGCTCACCCTCTCAACGATCTACGGGTGAACGTGATGTAACTATGTTGTATGATTGGTTTTGACGTCGTGGGACGACCATTTTGCGAACAGTATACAGTCTGTCAGTTCGAGTCAGTGAAGTGTCCGCGAGCCCACTGCAACTTGAATGTTCTCGATCAACGTGGAAAAACTGCATCCGAGGTAAGGATCGCACGCGGGTTCTGCTCGCTCAGAATCTACGAGTACAGTACACGGACATGCCCTCCAATGACCCTGGATATTTACCGTGGAACATTTACAAGTCATTAGTAGTATTCCCTTTGGGATTATATCTGTCAGTTGCACAAGCCACAAATCACTGGTAATCTTGAATTACAAGTCTCCCGGAGAAACGGGCAGTGCGAATTCAATTCGGTGACCCTTTCACTTGGGATTGGGGTCAATATGTCAGTGGGTGTCCAAGTCCTGCCGCCCGCCGCAATATCAATACTGAGGCCTGAGGCCTGAGGACTGATAGTGGCAGCACTGGGCTGGTGGCCAGGACGTCGACGCGGACGCTTCGTCGGTCACGTGCTTTGTGACGGCTTTGGCTTCTCGGAAGTCATTCAGTGCACTCACACAGCTGCCAGGAGTCCAGGACCATCCTCAAATTCATTTCCATGCTCCAAGCTGCAAAACTCGAACCAGTATCAAGTTACTTATTAATGGAAATGCAAACCTAGACAAAAAGTCACTACTTACATATTTGTTATATCAGGCACGCACGATGACCAGGGCACATTCGGGTTCGTCATGTGTCCATTCTGCGATGACCAAGGTTCAGTGGTAGCCCGTAAGTGTCCATGTCTGAGTCACACAGGTATTGATTGCTTGAGAAACGAGAGGTATATAAAGAGTACGAGTGCTTCGTCATGAGTTCACCGTTCTCATACCCCCCTTAACACAGCTGCTTTACTGATTGCCTCTGGTGTCTACGGGATTATGGCACAGGAAACAACTCACAAACATAACGTTCGCTTTTATGGCTTCATGCCTGTCCCGAGGGACCCAGAGGTTTTATTCAAGGATCACCCTACGGCTTCGGGACCTAACCCAAAACAAATACCCTTCTCAGTGGAATCATTACCTTTACCTGACTCTCCTGTTGTCCAAGCAGTCAAAGAGTTCGTGAAGGTACGTTTATCTGTTTTGCCTTTCTGAAATAACTTCAACGCCTGAATGTAATGCAGAAAGAGCTCGATGAACAGACGTACAATCATAGTCACCGTGTTTACTTCTACGGTAACTACCCCGTCCACATCCCAGATGTTCTGCTTTTTCATGTACGAAACAGGCACAGCGATTACTAAGACTCACTTCCCGGAGTGGCAATACGACCAAGAGACATACTACCTTGCCTGTCTCCTACATGACATTGGGACTGCAGACAAGTTCTTGACCACCACTAAAATGTCGTTTGAATTCAAGGGTGCTATCGTTGCGAGGGATCTGATTCTCTCGCAAGGTGGCGTCGAGGACCAGGCTGACAGTGTATGCGATGCTATCATCAGACACCAGGATATCTTTGTCAAGGGGTAAGATCCCCCACCTTGTCTATGGTGAAGGATTATCTATCATATTGCACGTCGGTAGGGGAAACATCACGGTTATCGGACAAGTCTTGCAGTTGGCAACTATCCTCGATAACGTCGGCCTGTAAGTGGTTTTGTGATCTTCGTCAATGTCAAGCTTCCTTATCCTGTTTCACAGCCGCGCAAACCTCATCCACCCCACTCTCATTGAATCTGCCACAACAGCGTATCCACGTAAGGGCTGGTCAGAGCATTTCGCGAAAGTGATCGAGAAGGAACTGGAGACTAAGCCATGGTGTCATACTTCAACCTTTGAGGTCCCCAACTGGAAGGAGGGTATACCGAGTAACTTTGCGACCGATGTTAGAGGAAACGAGGTGATGCGGAAGTATGATTGAAGCTCAGGATCAATGTGCCCTGCGGAACTTTGCTTATCAATGGACTGTACAAATCAAAGGGACGTCGTTCGATGAAAGTGTACAGTACACTCTATTGTTTTCTATTAGTCTTGTGGCTGAATGATGGCAGGCAGAAGATGAATATGAAAAAAAGGCAAAATGGTTCAGCCCGGTTTCGAACCGGGGACCTCTCGTGCACATTCAGAAATGTGAGACGAACGTGATAACCACTACACCACTGAACCGTTAACAAACAGCATCCCTATAAAACTAACAATGACGCCTGGTATCTCAGAACGGATGAATTACATTACGAGCGAACATGGTACCGTATAAGTAGCTATTGAATTAGATGCTGCATAGACTACAATACGTCCCTCCCCTCCTAGATCCTTTGAATATCCTCAATCAACATCATCATCCCTACTCTCCTCGAAGCTTCTCTGCTCCCCCTCGCCGTTCTCATACTCAGGCACCAAAGCACCGCTACCTACACTCTTGCCTCTCTCTTTCAACTTCAACACTCTCTCCCTTCTAATCCGCAAACTACCTTCATAGCTCTTACACACCCACTTCAGATACCTGATCCCTTCCTGCATATTCCCCTTCGCCACCATCTTATGATGTAGAATCTCGACCTCCGGGAAGGTCAGTAAAGGCGGTACGGTATCGTCTGGAACTTCGAGTGGGGTCGTTAATCGGACGAGAGGTTTGGACGGGGCTGTTAGGACTATGCGAGGGGAGCGTAGGGATGGGGGGATGGTGGGTGTGGGTGTGCGGATCTTGGGAGGGGGGTAGTGTGTAACGAAGCTTCGGATATGGGAGAGTGCACGGTCCAGTTGGCCGGTTCTGGTGAGGAGTATTATACGTTAGTATCTGAAACGTTCCAGAGATCATCGGAACAGGAGGACTCACATCGACAGAAGCCGAATCATTGCAGCATTTGCCCTCTCAACCAACCTCGCATTGGGCTTCACCTCCCTCTGACTTCCATCTTCCCTCAACACACTACCACCCACGCCATACACAGACATATTCCTCCACCTCTCCTCAATACCCTCCCACTCTCTCCAGACATCCTCAGCCAACGCCAGCGCCTCCTTCCTCTCAATCCCCGCGGACCCTTTCTTTCTCGCGCTTGCACACCTCTCAAGTACCTCCACGTACGAACGCGCGTTTCGAGGCACGTCGTATCGCGTAAAGATCCCATGGAAAAGATGGCTGACGGTAGAGATGGGTGAGTGGGCGTAGTGTACGGAGAGGTAGGCGTTGAAGAGGTATGGTGTGAGTCGGACATTTCTAAAAGGTTTGGGGGATTCGGAATTGGGGTCCTCAGGTGATGCAGCTGGGGATGAATGTGATTCGGAGATAATGCGAGAGAAGAGTGCGTCAACTTCTGCGACGAGTTCCGCGCGGGATTGAGGAGGAAGGTGCGCAAAGTTATCCGTAGATGTCTCGACCACGTGACCTGGTTGAGGCTGCTCCTCTCGCTGTTCAGCTTCCACTTGTGGAGAAGGACTGGTATCAGTCGCTTTCTCATGCGCCGTGGTGGAAGCGTCCGAAGTCGACGCAGACGCTCCAGGCTGCTGCTGACTCTGTTGATCCTCTTCGGTCACCTTCAACAACGTCTCGGCCCTCCTAAACGGCGGCCTATACGTCGCATACGCGTTGAACACATGAACCATAACCTCATCATCCACCCACACATTCCTCTCACCCTCCACCGACGCCTTCACCATCTCGGCCAATAACCATCTCGCCCTACCCAAATCACCAATCCGCTTCGCACCCTCCAACAAAGCTTTGAATAACTTCCTATCAGGAGTGAACATCATGTTCCCGTGTGCATCCCGGTTCGCGTCTAACATCTCTTTCGCCAGTCGGAAAGCTTCGTGGACGTATGAATTCGAACCGGAACGTGCGCACGTGAGGATGACGGCGGTATATGCGTCTGCGGTCGGCGCGATTTTGTGGTCCACTGTCATTTCCGTCCATAGATCTAGTGCACGTTCGGGTTCAACACCTTGGAATAGCAGTGGTGTTGCACAGGCTCGAATCATGATTGTATAGTTCCGCGCGTCGGGATTCGGATGTGCGGCATAACGCATGTGAGCGAAGAGATCCCAGGCATGTGCGTGTGCTGTTGTGGTTCGGAGGGCAAAGAGGTGGTTGAGGAGACGAGTGTAGGTCTTTTGAGGGGCAGGGGCCGCTTTGTTTTCGTAGGAATGGAGAAGAGCGAGCGCGTCTGTTGGGAATGTTTTTGGCGGAAGGCTACGAAGGTGAGCTTTTATATGGATGTCTCGTTGGCGTTCGGTGGGAATATTGGGTTGGAGGAGTTTGAGGAAGTACTCGGTACTCTTGACATCTCCAGCCGAAGCGAAGATGTCGGGGACGTCGTCGGCAGTATCTACCGAGACCTGCATAGAAAACGCCTGGACGAGAAAGAGTATCTTGTGAATACGAGAGAACATTGGTTATCGCTCATCAAACTGACCTCCATAAGCTTGAGGACTTCCTCCACGCTTTGAGGGTCATTCTCCCTTGCCTGATTAACTGATGAGTTGCGCCACACTCCGTAGCAGACAGCCACTCACACAATGTCGAGCCAAAGCTGACCACTCCTGGGCAGTCATTATGCCGACCGGCAACTTGCTTGGCCCTTCGGCAGGCAGGCGGTCCAATTCCTTTGCCACTTCATGTAACCGACTAACCAGCAAGCGATGCGATTGGGACTGACTCGGTGACCATGCCCGAGGTAGGTACATATTATCGGCGTTCTGGGATTGAGGCTGTCGCAGTTGCTGCAACCTCTGCGTAAGATACTGAGATAGCTCATCTGCCATGCCCTCAGCGTGATGTGGGTCATTTAACAAACGTTGCACCACGGACTGAACCAGCAATATGTCCGTTTCCTCACACACGACAGGTTTTGCGTCTTCCGTTTGACCTTCAGTAACCTCGGATGGTGCGGCAAGGAGATCCTCGTAGATTCCGAGCACTTCCTCTTCAGAGTAGAAAGGATGATCGACGCCTTCCTGAGTGGTAATCGTGTTTTTGAGGGCGTTCACTCGTTCTTCAAGTTGGGCAATTGCATCTGCTGAGCGATTGCGAGCTTCTGGAGCAAAAATACTGAGGGTCCTATGCAATTCGGAGGCTGGATCCGAGTCACGAGGCTTGTTTCTCCTATGATATGACTTTAGTTATACAGACATAAGGGCTAGCATTTGTGGTATGTACCTTGCGTACAGTGCGCTCTCCTCTGCAATTGCCTGTACATACTCTGAGAACTCCGCGTCAAAATGAGGAGGAGGTTGCGGCTTCAAAGCTACCGCATGAGAGTATCTGCGAGGCAAATATAAAGCAGTCTGTGCTGGTCTTCGTACAACAGCATTCGCTGGCCCAAGAACTCGCTGTAGCGTCAGGTCCAGAAGTGCAGGAGGCAACCGGGCATAAGAAGACATCACAATGAGCCACAGACGAATACCAGCTTTACCGGAAGAACCTGGAAAGCAGGGTGTAAGCAAGAGACGTGACAGACCTGGCAAAGCATGTACAACCCAAATTCCCAATCCCAAAGACCAAATTTGGGCGGCCTGCTGCGAAGCGCCCATAAATTCAGCTCGGTCGGCGCGGCCACGTGCCACTCGTAACGCTAGCGGCAGACTGAGACCGACCACCGTTCAACAGGGTTCAACCCAAATCATCTTGTCGGCAACAGTATCATATCCAAATGTTCGAGTGCTAGTCTCCTCCGCAGATATTATATATAGTATCTCGAGTCCCGCAGCTCGACTGAAACGCGCCGTGAACTTCTGTTTCCATCCAAGTCGGGCAGTGGAGGACGGAGGTCCTGGACGGTCCACCACTATTAGTACTCCACAATGGGCCACATTGTGATATCGGTGAGTGGTCCGACCTCATTTTGTAAACTACGATCGATTCCATGCGTACTGCTTGCGTTTGCCTAGATGGTTCAGTACAGTATCTGATGGTACAAGTGCACTGTAGAAGCTTCAGCTGCGTTGAACTTTTATGGACCGTGGCTATCGCGAAGCTCAACTTGAACAAATGAACACCCTGGAACTCTCTCCAGCGGAGGTGCTCGTTTTGCCCGTTCTTGACGCTACCCCAAAAGTCCTGACAGTAATATCATGAATCGATTGAATTCGAATGATTCTCAAAGCCGACAGTTGTGCAGCACGAAGGACCTGTGAGTACTTTCATGTCGCTCATATAATGGTTATGTAGCGCCAATGCGAACACCTGATACTATGCAAGACACCCTACACGGCGAAAACACGGCCGATATCGAAGGTTCTCTGCCTACGGCGAAGTGAGAGATGAAGCCAAGGGATGGTACGAGGATCACCTTATGCTTCCTGAACCGGATCGAAGACATGGAGCATGCCCTTGCTGCAAGGTAACTAGAATCTGAGGCCTTCGCTTCTCAAATAATTATTGACATATTTAGCACATTGACTGCCTCATTGTAGGCATTGAGGATGAATTTCAGGGTATAAAGTCAGGTACGTCGCAGAGCAATCTGTCCCTGCAGCCCGCTTCTCTTGTGCCAGTGGTAGACTGCCCGAACTCGTGGTGACAGCCGCGGCAGACAATGGAGAAAAGAGCGGAGGACGAAGTCCGGCTGATGATCCTGATCTGAATAGCTAGTTTCTGGAGACCAGCCTGACCAGGGTAACGACAATACAAGGGAGGAGGCGCGATGTAGCGGCATTGGTTGAAGAGGGAGCTGAAGATTCAAGACAATGCCTATCACATTTCATAAGTTTCCGCCGACAGTAACTAATTGGACATGAGGTTTTGGAGCTTTGTTGGGTTTGTGACCCATTGACAACTGATCTACATAGGAAGGCACCGCACATGATGCGATTAATTCTGTATGCAATGCGACGAAGGGTACTTCAGGTTTCAGGTCCATATGTAGCAACCAATGGAGGAGCGGTGATCCAGGATGAGCAGCAGACATATGCAGCCTCTCTTACAAAACCAGTGAGAGTTGCAGCAAGGCCTCCCTCATATCATAGCCACTATGTTGTTGAACTCGAATCTCGACCTTGAGATGGGTTTGAGCCGGGATAGTAAGTCTCTCGACGAAGGATGTCAAGTGCGCATGCTTGACGGTTCCTCTGATGTATGAGGAATCGAGGCACTCCGGAACATGCACCTCTCGCATTGACAAGTTCGACTTATCACCTCCCCCCTTTACCTTCGCATTCACCTGCTG